GCGGAGACGAGAAGGCGCGCCATGTGCGTAGGCCGATGGCACGATTCTCACCAACACTAACGGGGGTAAGACTGGCTCTGACTGTCTCGACCGGAAGGAGTTCCCGGCGCCGCGTCGCACCTGCAAGCACCCTAGCAACGACAAAGCTTTGTAAACACGAGTGGGCTTTGCATACAACACTGCCTCCACAGGCATACGACAACACGCCACATACCCCGCTGACCGAAGCCTACGCAGACCAAGTGAAGAACACTCACGCGCCGTTACTCGAACAGTGCGCGAGATACGTGGTGATCCTTTCTCCGTCAGGAAGGGAAGCAATGCGCGGGGAGGGTTGAAACGTTGACGTTGAAGCGTTACGTTGATATCTGGCTCGGATACGACCATTTGTTTGGCTTTGTTTGGCTGTCTCCTTCCTTGCCTTTCGCGCCTCGCACTCGCACTGCACGCAAGCCAAACAGAACCCTTGGTGCACGTCATGTACGAACAACGGGGCTTCAAACGTCTTCCGGAGGGTTACGGACTTGAGAGGTGCGTGGTTGTACGTGAATGTAGCGACGCCCTACTGGAATATCCCGGTCTCCTTTGAGCTCTTCCGTCGGCCTGGGCTGCAATGCTTCCGTGGCCCTTCGATGTACAACACATGTATTCTGTGTGTCGTTTCGCGTGGCATGTGCAACGATATAGACGTTTCCATCAGAGGTTATCTCTGCCTCCACTTTCTACTGGTGCGTTGTACTCATCTTGGCGCTTGTTGTAGCGGTGTGGCGGCGAGCGTATAGCTTTTAAACCGACTGATTCCGAGGCATTCTAGGCCCCAATTTCCTTCCATTCCTGGCCTCTACACCAGCCTCCTCTGGGCACTTCGACGTGCTGATAAGAAATGCCGACAACTTCTCCCAATATTCACCGCCGTTCCAAGGGCATCCACGATTTACCTGTCGAAATCTTGATGGAGATATTCTACCTTGTATCCGAGAATGCGCTACTGGTTCCACGGAAACGTGAGCACATCAGGAATTGCATGGTACTCCTTAAAGTATGCGGACACTGGCGCAACGTGGCGCACGGCTACCCGCGCCTATGGACGACGCCTCCGCTCCAGAAGATCGAGCTGACCGAGCTTGCGCTGAAATACTCCGGAACGTCTTTACTCAACATCGTCTGGTCAGATCAGGACGGAGAAGTGCTGGACAAGCGGGCTTTTTGTCGAGCATTGGCCGAGTTTCCGCGCGTCCAAACACTGGAGCTAGACCTTCAGTCCGGACATAATCCTCCAGGACACTGGGATGTGCTCCTGCAGGAAGTCAAAAGCACATTCACCCAGAAACCCGCAGGCTACCTCGAGACGTTGTCCATTCATATCCCCGCGGGTACGCTATGGAATGATGTCCCCATCCCCGATTCCCCGCGCCTGCGCTCTCTCCGTGTGTCGCGCTGCGAATTCCTCGAATGCACGACGTCTGTCTACGGGGGGCTCTCGGTGCTGGAGCTCGACGGTGCTAGTCTGGGGTGGGATGCATTGAGGGGAGGGACAGCGTTCCCAAAAATGATCCATGCGCTCTCTCAGGCCACGCAGCTCGAAGTCCTTAGCTTGCTCCGTTGGACGATCCCCCGCGACCTCCCTAGCTCGGACGCGCAGATCCAGCGCCTCGAGCTTCCACGTCTGCACACACTGAGGCTTGACGGCAGAGAACCAGGAGTCACGCGGATCTTGACGCTGCTTGATATGCCTCGGGACGGCCGTGAGCTCGCTCTGACCTTCTTGAGAGAACCGGGCATATTTGAGCTAGATATCGTAGCGTCGTTGAGGGCTTACTTCAAAGAGGCCATCGAAATGGAGTGGCATTTCGACTCGGTCTCGGTCTCGTTCTTCTCTAACCCCTACACGCCGATCCTGAAGACGGTCATCACAGCCACGGGGCCGCCAGAGCACTCACGCTTGCCCCAGACGCTGGTGCTCACCCTGTCCGCGCATGATTACATCGCCGCAGGCTGGGAGCTTCTTGCATCGCTCCCGATCCTGCACAAGGCGCGCTGGCGGACGCTGGACGCGCCATACCCTCAGGCTGCCTCGCAGGACCTTCGTTACTCCGAATGGTGGGCCGGCGGGCAACGACGCCACGCGCGGGCTGAATTCCGTCGCTGCGCGAGGCTGCGCAGCTGTGAAGCTGATCTACGCATTACTGGACGACCCCGATTCCGTGCTCCCTGGCGTGCGCAGCATCAGAATCGAGGATATCGTGTACAAGGAGGCCCGAGGCCTCTGCAGATTGATCGCAGCTCTTTCCCCCCTCCCAAGGCTGGTCCGGGCATGCCAACGCCGTGAGGGATGCCGGCTCACCTTGGTCGGATGCAATCTGACCGTATGCTCGGTGAAGGAAATGCAAGATGTTTTAAGCAGTGGCGTGTCGTTTATGAACTGTCATACTCCGTCTGGGAGGGCGCTTGCAGTCGAATTACTGAACGACCAGTCTGATCTCCGGGTCAGCGAGTGATGTTCGATTCCTCCGGGGAACTGTATATATCGTTCCTAGCCTGCGAACTCTCTGGTGCTAAGGACTCTTGTTGTCGTTCTGCAGAATAAGTCAGCATCGTTCTCAATAGAATGGCATCAGATTAGCTGGGAGCAGCCCCGCGCGGTCTCTCATACTTGGACTCGGAAGACTGGGGCACTATGGTGTATTCAACTTAGCCCGTGTTGTGTTCGGGGAGTCTCGCTGCACTGCATCTTGATCCGCTTTCTTCCCTCTGACGAGACCTGAGAATTATAGCGCCTGAACGTACAGATCAATGAGGTACAGCATGCGAACCCGACAGAGAATTCTGGTGTCTGAAGTCAGATCGTCGTCCTGCCGAAGCCGAAGCGAGTAGACACGCACCCTGTCACTTGTCAAAGTTGGGTCGACGACAAGTACCACATCATCTCCTGTTCGGCGATTCCAAACTCCTCTTTAAAGGCTCGAAGACGGTCCTTGTCGATCAGCGGCACTGTCAAGTTGTCGTCATCGTCACAAGCAATATCCTCGCTTGTATACACCGTGAGAATCCACGTGATGTCCTTTCTTCTGTCTCTGCCATTGAGGATTGGAGTGGCGATGTCGACAATGGGAATCTTGTTCTCGTCCATGTAGCATTGGACGATGAAACAGCAGTCCACCTCGTTCAGAACCCTATCTGCGTTCTCCTTGTCCTTGAGTCCGTGTAGCCGGACGTAATCCAGAAGCTGCGATCCGGACACAAGAAATCCACGGTGCCAGACACGGCCGGTAGAATTGTATGGGATTGGTATCTTCCACTCCGGCAGATGATGAGTCGGAACACCCATGACTCGATACTGGCTCAGCATCAGTATGAGATTCCGGGCGCTGGAAAAGCAACTCAACCATTCAGTGAAGCTATCGTTTGGGTCGCCATATCTACCGTCAGCTAGCGAGTCATCGTCGTCTGAATGCACACTGTCTTCAGGTTGATCGATGCTCGGTTGAAGGGTATCGTCGACAAGTAGTTGGTCGTCCTCTTCATCGCGGCCCCGGGCCATCGGTGGCCATTACGGCTTTGCTACATCCTGTGTCCATGCTAGACAGCATTACGGTCCATCAGCAGTGGAAAACACAGCTGAGAATAATCAAGGAGGAGGGCAGAGTCCGGACAAGTAGTAACGAGTTCGAAATTCGACAAGTCGCGTGTTGTGTGACCCTTGTTTGACCCTCGTTCCGCTCAGGCTCGGCTGCTGCTCAGCGCCGCGGCGAGTCGTTCGCTCTGTCTCTTGCTCCATTTCCCAGGTCAACCTCCTCCAGTACTCCCTCCTCGCCGTGTCCTATGTCTACCGATACTAGCGTACTACCCATCCCTCCTCTTCCCACGGAGCCCGTTGGTTACATCCTCACACGCGAAGGCATCTCAAAGCGTACCAACCTACACACCGCATCGCTAGCACTCCAGAAGAACTTAAGGTGAGCTCATCATTTATGTTTTAACAAACTAACATCTCATATCCTTTCCGTTGATACACAGGCCTTGGAAGAATGCCTCATGTCGAAGAAGCCGATGCTTATACTGCCTCCCGAACTCGACTACGGTACGACAAGTACCCGTGATAGTCAACGAGACGCTCTGCTCCATTTCGGCGTGGCAGTTCCCACCAAGAAGATCTTCCGGTATGCTCTCAAACACGGTCTAGTGGATCCGGCCACCGAGATGCCGAAAGACTTCGTCTACATGATGTCCATCTTGAGGAAGGTAAAGCAAGATCTGCAGACTTCCACAAAGACGCCATCGTTGTATACCAAGTATCCTGTTGCGCACCAGTGGGACCCGTCGGAGCCCATCGTGTTCGTCCTTTATTCGGACAACAATCAGGCCAGGATGAAAGAGAAGCTGCGAGACGAGAAGGCGACCGCTGAAGCGATCCGCGCCATATTTGAGATCGAGGAGCCAGTGATGTGGCATTGGGACTACACACAGGGTCACTACGGCTGTAAGCGATGCACATCCATGTCGTATTTTGTGGTAACTGACCGGCGCTGTCTTGACTCCTTGCAGACGTGTCCGCCTATCGGAGGCCGAGGGGATCCAAATAAACGTATCATTGTCATTTGTCGCGCGGGCCTCGCTGTTTGTCCCGCACACGAGGACCAAACAAAGGCTGGCTCCTGATAAGCCCGCCCGCCGCCCGAACGCAAGTCCCACACCCTCCCTGACCCGCCCTCCCTTGCCATCGCCCCGTACACGACTCCTCGTAGTATCGTCAACGGAAAGGCAGCTACTCGTCCCCCTCCATCTGACGACCGAGCCTGCGCTGGCGAGGGGCACGGAGGTTCGTTTGATCGCGCCCGTATGCTGTCTCCTGGGTGCGGGTGAGACGAGTGAGTCACTAAGACAGCGCGCCCGCGCCCGCCCCCCGCCGCGTGCAGGCTGCTGGGGTACATAAGCAACGATCCACACGAGAGCGAGTTGCGTGTCCCGTAGTGGTCGTCGTCGTCGTTGGCAAAAAGTCATTCCGGTACGGGGAATCGAACCCCGAGCTGCCGCGGCCGCCATCATGTGATCGCAAGTGAGTGAAAGGCGGCAATGTTAGCCGTTACACCATACCGGAGTTATCATTTGCATGTGTAAGACTGTCCATGTCACGTCTCTGCAGTGAGGAAGGACATCTTTTTCTCGCTGTTGGGAGTTCCTGTATACTGCAATGAGGGACGGCAGACCGGATAATGTACGGCACACGGAGAACTTAGAGGCACCCAAGCTAGCCGTTGCACTACACCGGCAGAGAACAGCCAAGCAGCACCGCATCGGTGAGACCGCTTTTGCCCTTGCGATGGATGAAAGACGAGCCAGGGATGCGAGGTAAGCAATTCAAAGCTCAGAGCAGCAAGGGATGACATGGACGTGCTCACCAGGCGCCTAGACTCGCCGACGCGCAAGACGCGCCAACGTCAGCCGTGACACCATACATACCGGAGGGAAACCCCGCGAGTCAGATGCGCTCAGGTTGGATTGCCACGCGATGGGGATGACGGGGCTCCCTCTCGTCTCGTCGAATCGCGGCAGGTCTCTCCAACACCGGCGTGTGGAAGGGGGGCGGGGGTGGAGGTGCGCTGACGCAGGGGCAGTACCTGAATAGCAGACGGGGTGGGGACAGCACGTCGCGGCGGGGGCGCGTTGGGAAGAAGATGTGACGTACGTTGTGGTAACGTTCGCCGTCCCGAAGGTCTGTACAGGGGCTCGCAGGCCCTCTCCTTCGGCACGCGCTTCAGCGCCGAGAGCAGGACGAAGCCAAACAAGCACCGGCTCGAGGAATGCCGACAACAGCGCCGCCGCCGCCGAGCAGGCTTGCAGTGACGGACCGTTCCCTTCGACCTTAGGGTGGTCGCGCTGGTCCTGCCTGCACACCCCCTCCCGCCGCGGCCCTGACACCCCGCGCGCACGCCAGCCCCGTCTGCATCTCCCGCGCTCGCCTCTTGCTCGCGCGCGGGGACCCGCAGCGCCCAGCTTCAGATACTCAACATAACGGATGCGTGCCAGCCACCCCCTAGTCGACGCGCTCCAACTTGGTTGCTGATCATAGACCACAGTGATGCTGTTCTCGATGCAGAAGGAGGGAGGGGAGCGGAGCGGCATGCATCAGGGCGTGCGTACATCGTTCTTGTCGCAATCAGCAGCCAGCGCGAGCAACGGGGCGTCAACACCGCTCTCCGGGGAGAGAATCGGGCGGACCTCCATCGCCTCGACCGGTGCGGGATGTGTCCGCTCTGGCCAGCATCCCTAGGCCATGCGCCCCCAATATTCTTCCGAGCCACCAGCCCCCGAGCAATTCCGTTACGGTCCCTTCCTGGCGACGGAGAAAGGCCCAGCGCGTATCTTGTGCACTGTACATACGACAGCATACGACGTGTGAGCGTGCAGAGTCGAGTCGGCGTAAGCTGCGGCCAGCGGGGCCCGAGTCTGTGGCGTGTCTGTGTATCCACAGTTCCACCACCGGCGAGACGCGTCTACATTGAACACACCATCGCACGACTTGCGTCCTCAAGCCCATCTCGATCATATTTCTGTCAGTGCGGATTCACCGATCTCGAGATATAATGCGTGGTAGGATTGGCCTATGTATGTCTGCATTCATGTCCTCGGCAGTGACGGTTGACTCACAATAACCTACAGGCTACCTAGCTACGCCGTCAAGTTACTCTCAAATCGCTCTTCCTCTGTGATCTTCGCGTGGCTACGTGCGTGGCCGCTTCCGCTCATCTGCCACCTGATACCTCCGCGCGAGAGCGTCTTTGAGCCCGCGCACATGAGTAGCAGAAACATCGCTGGTGAGTCCATGTGCTTGATCGCGTTGATGGCTTGGTCGAATATCGCTCGATCGATATTTTCTCAATGCAGATGGCCCCACGGTACTTTCAGGGATATTGCGTGCGCAGAAAAATCGATATGGTATGGCAATTTAGTCGATCTTTCTGTCCCACAACCTCGCTCTGGTAGGTTTGAATACCATGACATCGACACGTCGCTACCCACGCCGCTGATAACAAGCCGACATACTCTACTGGAGAAGGTGGATACTTTTGTCGAGAGGTCATCGCCACGCCGCGGCGCGGCGCAGGGCACCGGCATCCAAGATCCCGCCCCAAAATTGCTGGCATGGCGAAAACAACAGACGTCAGGATCGACTCCCGCGAAAAGGAGCTGTCAAACTGACGTGTCACCGTAATGTCCCATGGTGGAGCTCCAGTACCACATCGGCGGGCCCGCGATGGCGAGCTCGGCTCGCAGAGTCGCGATGCAGCGCTGCTCATCCGCCATGCCGGCCTGCACACCCGCTCTGGTGGTGTTCGCGTACAGGGACACGATGAAGAACTCCGCCATGCCCGGTTCGTAGTGAAGGGGCTGTTTGAACCGCAGGTTCGTGTTCCGCGTGCGGCGCATCGCACATGTCGCGCGGTACAACGACTCTTCCGCGGCGCAAGCTTCTTGCGCCTTGTCCTTCAAGAGCTTGTGGGCTTTGGCGTACTCGAGCAGCTTGTCTGCGGTCACCGCGAAGCCGTAGAACAGCTCGGGGTACTCGCCTTCGTGGTGGTGAGTTTGTTATTGGGGGTCGTACTCGGGCGGGAGGGTCAGCAAGGGGGTGTTTCTTTCTAAACTCCGCGTCGGCGGCCTGTGAAGACGGAGATGCCAGATCGGTGAGCTCGAGGTCGTCAATTATACGCAAGGGCGGTCATGACTGACCTTACGTCCTTCGGGGGATCGCATGAAAATGACTGGATAAGAGGTGGTGGCGGGCGGTTGACGAGGCAGCAGACGTGCGAGGTCGCCCCCGTTGGCAATGAAGTGTGTCATTTCGGCGTTGGAAGCGCGTATAAGAGCGTCCTCGATACTCATCTGGAAGGGAAAAATGACAGAGAGTGATCGGTCTATCGGCTGTGGTGGGAGGATGGTGGAGGTCCGAGTACGAGAGAGACCGCGACGGCTGCACAGTAGACACGCTCCTGACACGCGGCAAGCGCGTGGCTCGGACCCGCCTGTGCAGGTCTGCGACGAGACTGATTGATTCGATCGTACACCCTCAGCAAGAATGTCTGCTTGCATAATTTCCTTTGCTCACATATGGCTTTACCCCTGCGCACAATTTAGTCAGACAGCGGGGGGTCCGGGACTTGTCCACGACGATCGAGATGCACGAAGGACAGCGGTATGTTAATTTGCCCCCTTGGGAGGCACGTCTGCAAGGTGTCAAGGGGGCGTCGGTGAGTCGCCACAAAAAGATGCGACATGGACGTGCATCGCTTACAGCCGTGGTAATCCTGTGCGTACTCCCAATGCCACATCGCTGGCTCCTCGATCTCAAATATGTTACGGATTGCTGTGATGGTCGCCTTCTCGTCTCGCAGCTTGTCTTTCATCCGGGCACGATTGTTGTCCGAATAGAGAGTGAACACGATGGGCTTCGCCGGGTCCCGCCGGTGCGCAAGAGGATACTCGGTATGCAGCGACGGCGTCTCCGTGCGACGCTGCAGCCGTCGCTTTACCCTCGACGCAACGGACATCATGTCGATGTCGTCTTTCGGCCTCGAGTCAGGGTCCGCTAGATCATGCTTGAGAGCATACTGGTAGATCTTCTCGGCGGGCACCGCCACGCCGAAATGGAGCAGAGCGTCCTGGTTCGGCCGGTCGCTGGCAAGTGTCGAACTCGGGAGGGAGTGTGAGCACCGAGTGTTTCGACGCGTAGCATTCCTCCATGGCCTGTGAGTCGGTGGAAAGAGTGTGAGGGTTCGATCTGCGGGAAGATGGAAGTGGATCAATGATGAGTGGACCTTCAGTTCTTCGGGGGTCCTGACGATATCAGTGTGTAGGTTGTGGTGCTTTATGATGCCTTCGCGCGTGAGGATATAGCCAACGGACTCTGAGGCGAGAGGAGGGAGGGGTACGCTAATCTATCATGGGTTGACATGGGACACGGGGAGGAGGGAGTGCTAGAGGAGAGGCAGACTCGAGCGCGAAAGTAGGAGCCGAGCGTGCGCCGACGGTCAAACAAGCGTCAACACGCGACTTGTCGAATTTTGTGCTTCAAGTTGTCCGGCCTCCTACGCCTAACCGTTCTCGTCTGCATCTACCACTGCCTATGGACCAGCGAGCTGTCTTACATGGACACGGAACGTAGCAAACCCCTCACTCTTGCCGAAGGCCGCGATAAAGAGGACTGTCAACGACTCGTAGGCGATACCCTTCAACGGGAATGCGTTGAACAATCCGAAGACACGGTGCATTCAAGTTCAAAAGCTGCTGAAGAGCTACCTGAGAACGACGATGACGATCCATACATTCAATGGGTGAGTTGATTTGCTAGCGCCCCGGAATCTCGTACTGATAGCGAGCCTAGTATCAACGCACGGCCGCTCCGACGCGTCACCTGGAGGATTGGAAGATACCCCTCCCATACAATCGCACCGGCTATGTCTGGCACCGTGGGCTTCTTGTGTCCGGATCGCAGCTCCTGGATTACGTCCGGCTACACGGACTCAAGAACAAGGAGAACCCAGATAGTGTTCTGACTGAGGACAACTACTGGCTCGACGCCCAGCGCTACATGAGGGAGAACGAGATTCCCATCGTCGACATCTCCACGCCGATCCTCAATAAAAAAGACAGAAAAGGAGTCGATCTATGGCTTCTCGCGGTGTATACAAGCGAGGATCTTGCTTATGACGAGGACGATAACTTGACAGCGCCGATGGTCGATAGAGATCGTCTGCGGGCCTTTCAAGAAGAGTTTGGGATCGCCGAGCAGGAGATGATGGGTACTTGTCGTCGACCCAGCTTTGACGGGTGACGAGGTGCGTGTCTACTCGCTTCGGCATCAGTGCGACCACCTGACTTCAGACGCTTGTCGAAAAAATGCTTCAGACTTGTCAGTCAGTCATGTTAGTACTCTACGCCGATGCTGATCATTGTGGCGTACACACAACATCCAGATATGTCCTTGCGGCTAACTTGGATACGTCATGCCTCTAACTCGGACAAGATGCACGCGTGAGACCGCCGCCACATTGAAGAGTCTTGGGTGATGCGTTCGTGACATGAGTCCGCCACCTCTTGAAA